TCAGCTGTGCCTGGAATAGCTTTGACCCGCGGCCCCACGCGCCAACGGGACGCTGGGCAGCTATTTCGGAAAGTTTTCTGCGCTGCTGGCTTCGTGGCAATGGACGAAGAAGCAGGGGGTTAAAACTCACTTCCCCTCCATCAGCGGGGATCGGGCGGCAGCAGCGGTGCTGCAGTCCCCAGCAGCAAAATCCCCCCCACTAAAAATCTTTTTTGTCCCCCTTTTAATTAATTACCTAATTCATCTCGCCACCTGGAAGATACAGGTATTTCCCGAACGCTCACAGCACCCCCTGGTTTCGGGCATATCAGTGGGATGAAGCCTCTCCCAGCAAGTGGGGACAACTGTGAACATCACCGAATCCCATTGCTGCCTGGGATGGGGAGAAGCCCCCAGGGAAGCCCCAGGCTGTGCTTTGCACAGCCAAAATCAAAGCCAAGGACCCAACCCATGGCGGGACGACGCTGCCACCCCGAACGCTCACAGCACCCCCTGGTTTCGGGCATATCAGTGGGATGAAGCCTCTCCCAGCAAGTGGGGACAACTGTGAACATCACCGAATCCCATTGCTGCCTGGGATGGGGAGAAGCCCCCAGGGAAGCCCCAGGCTGTGCTTTGCACAGCCAAAATCAAAGCCAAGGACCCAACCCATGGCGGGACGACGCTGCCACCTGCGACAATCTCACTTCCAGTGCCAGCAGGCACCGGCCGGAGCAATCACAGGCAGAGCCCAGCAATGGGACTGGTTAGGGGATTGCTGCCCATCCCAACCTCCAAATGCTGCGATATCGGGGGGACAACCCCCTCCGCTTCCCGTCACCCTTTCCTGCCAGATTCCTGCTCCGCATGGCGGGCAGAGGGTGCCAGGCTCCCCGAAGGGCTGCCCAGAAACCGCCTTTGCAAGGAAAGAGATGCTGGAAACTTCAGCATCGTATTTTGCCGGCCAGGGAGAGTCTGGGTTATAAAAACGCATTTCCTCTACCACATGTATTTTTTTCTTAAAGCAAACAAACGCAGGCAGATGTCATTACAGCTGGAGCTGAGCTCTGGACATCAGACAACTTAAATATCTCTTTCTGACACGGTCCCTTACCAGCCAAAAACTAGCCTAGAAATATAAAACAAGGGAGCAGAGCAGTTCCCAAAAACTTCCTCTCTTTGTCGTGTTAACAAGAAAATACAAGGAGAAGGGGTGAAAAACTGAGCCCAGTGTCTGGGCTGCACCACAACACGCAGAACCAGCTGAGGGATGGGTTTTTATGCTTGATAAATGTAAGCATGTTCATCAGCGAGCCCAAAGTCAGCCCAAAATTAGCTCAAAGTCAACTCAAAGTCATAGATAGAATGGTTTGGGTTGGAAGGGACCTTAAACATCATCCAACCCCCCCTGCCATGGACAGGGACACCTTCCACTACACCAGGTTGCTCAAAGCCTCATCCAACCTGGCCTTGAACACTTCCAGAGATGGGGCAGGCACAGCTTCTCTGGGCAACCTGTTCCAGTGCTTCACCAACCTCATTGTAAAAAATTTCTTCCTTAGATCTAATCTAAATTTCCCTCTTTCAGTTTAAAGCCATTGCCCCTTGTCCTGTCACTACACGCCCTTGTAAAAAGTCCCTCTCCAGCTTTCTTGTAGCCTCTTCAGGTACTGGAAGGTGCTGGAAGGTCTCCTCGGAGCCTTCTCTTCTCCAGGCTGAACAGCCCCAACTCTCCCAGCCTGTCTCCATAGCAGAGGTGCTCCAGACCTCGGATCATCTTTGTGGCCTCCTCTGGACCCGCTCCAGCAGCTCCATGTCCTTCTAATGTCAGGGACCCCAGAGCTGAATGCAGCACTGCAGGGGGGTCTCACGAGAGCAGAGTAGAGGGGCAGAATCCCCTCCCTCAACCTGCTGCCCACGCTGCTTTGGATGCAGCCCAGGACACAGTTGGCTTTCTGGGCTGCCAGCGCCCATTGACAGCTCATGTGTTGAGCTTCTCATCAACCAACTCCCCCCAAGTCCTTCTCCTCAGGGCTGCTCTCAATCTATTCTCCACCCAGCCTTTGCCTGTGCTTGGCATTGCCCCAACCCATGTACAGGACCTTGCATTTGGCCTTGTTCATAAGATTCGTACAGTCAACCCAAAAGAGTCCAATGCCAACCACCCACAACGCGGGGACCTCCCAGTTAAATAACAGGGAGCAGGAGGGAGCGGGGAAGGACACTGCAAAAGAAACGAGCTCTTTGCCACACAGGGAGCAATCCCAGCCTTCGAAGCGAGCAGTCAAGGAGAGGGGGAAGGAGGAAGAGACTGGCAGGAGCCCCTTTTGTTCCTTGAGCAGCAACGTATTTCGCCCGGAGCGAATGAAAAGCAACGCAAGAGCGCCGAAGAGCAGCCGTACTATTAGATGGTAGCTCTCCGAGTGTGACAAACAGCCTTCCCCAACAAGCCCTGCTCATTAATCCCTGCTTTATTTGTGTAATCCATCTAAAAATCACTCTCACTGCAGCTATAGCGTATTTTCCTCCCTGAGCTCAAACTCAATACAGCTACAGGCTTGGTTCTTCCCTGTTCACGTTGTGGGAAGCCCGCTGCCAGGTGCCCTGCATCACTCGACGCCTCCCCAGCACACCCCCAAGGCGAGGCACTCATTAAAGGAGGCCAATTAATATGAGACCCATAGGTCATTATAAAGTCAACGAGTAACGCTCATCTCCACGGCTGCTGCGGAGAAATGAGCTTGAAAAGGAGCATGAAGGCAAGGGGCCTGATCCTGCAGGATGCAAAACTGCCTTACATACCCCCCGGGGACTTTGCTTTGCTCTGCTGCTGCTTGGAGATGTTTTTTTGGGGGCAAGAAGCCTCTAAGAAGCAAGAAGCCATCGCATGTGGGGGGGGCACAGGGGATGGGATGGCATGGGATGGGATGGAATATGCCACAGCTGTTACAGCTCC